CCTTGGATGCTGCTGAATGAATACAAGACTTCCCAAATCCACGGGCATGGGAAAGGGTCCCAGTACCCCCCCACCCAGGACGGAGCCCCCAGCCTGGCGCCGGCCACAGGCCCCTCACAAGGGGGTTTTCATGGAGCTGCACACGCGGAGTTTCCTGGCGGCAGCCCCGGCACAGAGCAGAGCTTTGTCCAGCACCACAGCCGGGAGCTCAGCCCAGAGAAAGAAGTTTATTCAGGGAAAAAGAAAAAAAAAAAAGGCCATTTCTCTCTCTGGGCTGAACAGAGGCTGCACAGAGCACACAGAGCAACGTTTTGCTGCCCCTGCGCCAGCTCCTGCTTCTAAATGAGCACTTTATCCCCAAATCCTGCCCTCAGAGCTGCTTGCTGGGAAGGGCAGGTCTCAGCTACCTTCAGCCCCTACCATCCCTTCTCCTTGCAAATCCCAGTTCATTATCCCAGGGCATTAAGCTCATACTGAGGACAAAGTCACCAGGCTCTGCAGGGTGGGGATGGACAGCAGGGGGGCTGCCAGGGCCCCCACAGGGTCACCCATGGGGTAGGTGACACCTCCAGCCTTTGCCATCTTAATTCCCTCCACAGGAAGAGGGAGATGCCCAATGAACAGGCATGAAAAAGGAGTCTCTTGCTCAGCAGGGCCAGCCCAGTACAGTTGTACATCAGGGAGTGCAAAAAAAATACAAATAAACAAAAAAAATAATAGTAATAGCAACAGTAAGAATAAGAATAATTTCACATATACAGGACCACAGGTAAATCAACCCTGATAGAGCAGCACAGGCAAACTGACTCTCAGAGCAACTCAACAAAACCACCCCAGCAGAGGGAAGGACAGAAAAAAGTTTGAAGAAACTAATTTTTTTCCAAAAATACTTGAACTTCTTTAAATAGTATTTGGTTTTGCTTATTGCTCTCCACTTCCCCATTCCTCAGGCATTACAAAAATGCTTGAATGGAGCAACTCTGTGGATTTAAGTCCAATGTAAGGCTTGCAGTTACTTGATGCTGACGTGGTTTTGGGGTAGTGACCCCATCATCCCTTCCCCCACCTCCTCCTCATTATCCCATTCTCTTTATATGACACTGTGCCACAAAAAGCATGGATTTTGGACAGGAATCCTACCTTCTGCGCATCTCCAGTGAAGTAGGCAATGGTCAGGGTGGGGAGGATCATGAACAGTGCATTGTAATAGAGCAGACCATATTTTCCCAGCTCCTGGAATCAAGAAATATCCATGTATTTAACTTGGAACATAAAATCTTATTCATATTGCTACTGAGATTGGGGCTTGTAAGGTAAATCCATATGAGATTCTCCAAGACAGAGGAGTTGAAGGGTGGGGGTTTTTATATATATCAGAGAATCCCAGAATGGTTTGGGTTGGAAGGGACCTTAAAGCTCATCTATGCCACCTCCTGCCATGGGCAGGGACACCTTCCACTAGACCAGGTTGCTCCAAGCCCCATCCAACCTGGCCTTGGACACTTCCAGGGATGGGGCAGCCACAGCTTCTCTGGGAAACCTGTGCCAGGACCTCACCACCCTCACAGGGAAGAATTTCTTCCCAATATCCCATCTAAGCCTGCCGTCTTACAGTGGGAAGCCATTCCCCCTTGTCCTGCCTCTGCAGGCCCTTGTCCAAAGTCCCTCCCAAACTCTGGACAGGAGACTTTGGGAGAGCAATAGGGTGTCACCAGGAAAGCCTCACTCCTTTGCCCTCTCAGATGCAGGTTGGTGGCAAACGAAGCCCAGTCCTGAAATGCCAGAGGGAAGGTCATCCTACCTTTGAATCCAGCTTCTGTTTCACATAGGCACCATTTGCAGCTGTTAAGGCATCGTTAATAAGGATAAAAATATATCCTTCCAGGTCGAATGCCAAGTCAGCACTGGGAAAGGGGAAAACCAGAAGTTAAAGCTCTGAGCTGGGCAGAAACAACGCTTGGAAGATTCCTTCCACCTCCTGTTGAGCCAGTAAGTTGTCAGGAAAAGTTAATCATGGGAGGAGGGGTGGGGATTTGGTTCAGTAAAACATTCTTTCCTACTAGAGAGCATGTCGGGGGGGAAGTTAGTGTTTAATCTGCCTTCTTGGGACACTGGATTCTCTTTAGCTTGGACCCTTTGCAGACACGGGATGGGGACAGCAAACTGGGAGCTCACCTGGCAGCTACGAAGGCGCCAAAGATCATAGCAAATACTGTCATCTGAATGCTCCAGGAAAACTTCTTCCTGGAAAAGAGAGGCCGGAGGACATGGCAGTCAGCCACAGTTTAGTCCTTGGGGAAGTACTGCCAGGGCTTTGGAGAGGAACAGGGGACACACATGGAAAGGGGGAGAAAACCCCAAGGAAACCAACCCGTGCAAGAGCCATGAGTAAAAGACACTTTTAGACAATTCTCTCTGTAATTTAAAAATAAATAACTTGGTCTCGATGAGGTGTGAGTTTATGGAGAGCTGCAACCCTGCCTGGTGCAGAGAAGGGCTCAGCTAGGCACGGAGCAGCTCCCAGGCCCATGGAGCCAGTCCTGGGAAAAGGGCTGTCGGCACATGGTGGGAGCAGTATGGGGGTCCCTGCAGGCACCAAGGGCTGGTACAACACCCTCCACATCCAAAACAGTGCTGCACAGCCAGGCTGCTGCAAGTGGAGACAGAGCACAAACCTCTGCCCCGCCTGGCAGCTCTGCAGGGCCCCGTGTGTCTCCCAGCTCCCTCCGGGCACGGGAAAGGGCTGCGCAGATCAAGGCAAGCAGCTCCCTGTATCACTTCCTCCGCCCACCCTCGCTCCCAAAACCCAGCCCGGAGCCAAAACCCCTGGCCACACAACAGCTCCCTCACACTGGGCATCATCCCAACACCTCCCAGCTTCTGTAACTAACCAGGACCTGTCACCGGGAGAAGGGGCTGGAAAGACTCACTTGAGTAAGAATCCTTCGGCAAACATCGTAAACAGGATGGAAAACCTTCGCAGGACAGTGAACATGGGTAGGCTGCAGGAGGAAGGGGCAGCAGGATGAGAGGTTGTTTCTCCCTCCCCGCTGCAAAATGCAGCTCTGTGGTCACTCTGGAGCGGGCACCAGGATATGGGCTCTGGAGAACAGAGCATGGGCAAGCCTTGCCCATTCTCTTATGAAAATGGCATTACTCTCCTCCCCAAAAGGTATCACTTCTATCAGACCCTGTCAGGGCAGGGGGCCCTGGGGACACCCCCACACCCTTACCCACAGCGGGTGAGGGCCAGATTCATGTCCCCCCACGCCCACTGGCTGCGGGAAGCATTTGAGAACATACATGTGACACATATTGGTATGGGCAGAAAAGGAAGAGCATCACCCCGAGTGGCTCCTACCCAGGTCACCCCCAGCCTTGCACAGCCTCAGGGCCCAGCAGCAGCTGCCTGGGGTCCTTGGGGACCCCGTAAGGACCCCATTAAACACACTCCCCCATACAAAAAAACATCCGTACTTCAGTTTCTTTGTGCTGAACAGTCCTGTGATCTGGTTCCCGAAATACAGAAGAGGTAGAGGAAATGTCTAGAAATAAGAGGGATAAAGCTGAGTGAGCAACCGCAGGAAGCTGAGGAGCTCCCAGAGCACCCTCAGAGGATAAATATAGATATGAAGTTATTCCCACCCGGCCATAGAAGCGTTCACACACACACACACGTGTCCCGGCTCCTCAGCCCAGAGCTGCTCGGTGGCCACAAGATCCCGGGAACACAGACAGAGGGATTCCACTGCCAAACAGCCCATGGTGCCACCGGGGGTGAGGGGATGGGGCAGAGATCCCTGGCTGGCCCAGAGGCAGAGGAGAGGTGCCCAGGGAGTTGGGTGCCCAAGGAGGGGAGTTGGGTGCCCAGGGAGGGGTCTTACCCGCCGTGGGACATGTCTGTCGAGGTCGGGGAACTTCACCACCCGCAGTGCTTTGCCCGCCCAGAGCACAGCCACTGTCGCCAGCATCTGCAAGAGAGGGGGGTGTCACCCCACAGCCCCCCAAATGGGAGGTCTGGGGGGGACAGGGGCATTCTACTCACCTGGCCCAGCCCTACGCACAGCGAGGAGGGGAACCTGCAGGCAGAGAGCAGAGATCAGGGGGGGTCCCCACACTGGGGGGCACCCACACCGGGGGTCCCAGAGGCCACACACCCCACTGTGTGTGTGTAGGGGGGCAGCAGCAACCCCGTCCCCCCAAACCTGAGAGCTCACAGCCATGGGGGGCACTGCCCAGCCGAGCCAGGGAGTCCCCACGGGAAAAGGGGACACGCAGGGAGGGGGTGGCAGTGCAGTGGGTTCCTGGGGGGGAGGAGAGAGGGTACGGGTGGGGGGGAGAGCCCCACATTAGGGGGTGCATAGGGGGTGTCAGGGGCTGTGCGGGACCCCAGAGCGGGGGGGCCGTTCATGGGGGTCCCCGGCCCCCCAAGGACGAGGGGGGTGCATGGCGGGGTCCCCATGCTGGTCCCCCAGGAGAGGGGTGTCCAATGCCCATTCCCCGGGGGGAGCTCCGCGATGCCGATTCCGTAAAGAGTCCCCACGCCGCGCCCCCGAGGGAGGTCCCAAAGCCGATCCCCCGAGGGGGGGGAGTCCCGACACCGCTCCCCGGGGGGGTCCCGCCGCCCCGGCCGTACCCGTAGGTGGTGAGGACGCTCTTGTTGACCACGACGATGAGGAAGGAGCTGAGGCCGTAGAAGGCGGCGGCCATGAGGCGCAGGCAGAGCGGCGGGGCCGGCGCCGCCATGCCCCGCTCCGCATCGCCGGGCGCGGGGGCTCCGGCGGGGGCTCCCCCCTCGGCCGCCCCCTCGGGCCCCCCCCCGGCACCGGCCGCGGGGCGTCTGCGCGACTCGGCCGACATGGCTGGGGCGGGACCGGGGCGGGAGCGGGCGGGCGGGCAGCGCGGGGAGGGGCCGCGCAGGCGCCGCGGAACGGGGGGAGCGGGGGCAGAGACTGGGGGGGCATCGGGCTGGGTGCTGGTGTGAGGGAGGGCCAGTGTGTGTGGGGGGACTGGTATGGGAGGGGCGTCCGGCGCAGCGGGGGTGTTGCACGGGGGTCTGGTATGGGGGAGCATTGACGGAGGGGGTGATCGCACAGGGGGCTGGTGTGGGGGGGTCTGGTATCGAGGGGTTCGGCACGGGAGGGCATCGCACGGGGGGCTGGTATGAGGAGGGCTGGTAGGGGGAGCACTGACGGGGGGCATTGCAAGAGGGGCAGGGGTCTGGCTCGGGGGCGCTTCTGGTATCGGGGGGTACAGCACGAGGGGCCGTGGCATTGCATAGGGGTGGTTTATGGGGGAACATAGCACAGGGGTCTGGTATGGGGGGCATTGACTTGGAGGCTCCCAGGGGGGCATTGTGGGGGGGCCTGAGAGGGGGACCATTGCCAAGGAGGGCACCGGGCACGGCAGTGGGCTGGCGGCACTGCAGGGACAAGGGGACACCAAAAACACATGTCCTCTCTCTGGGCAGGGGGAGGACGGTCCTTCCCTCCCTCTCCACAGCAGAATTGGGGGCAGGGGAATCAGACCCACTCTGGCACTGCTGTCCCAGACACAGTGGCTATGGGGGCCCAGCACCCTGCTGGGTGTTGCCCTCGGGTGACCCCACACGCAGGATTTTGGCACTAGCCCTTCCCTTTCAAAGATTAAATCTTCCCCTCCAGGCCATGCTGTACCAAGTGGAAAAATCCCTAAACAAGCCAGCTTGAAGCACAAAACCACCTCCGTCCTACAGGGTTATAGTGGAGAGAATGGATTTTGCTGGGAAAGAGGACTTACACACGCACCTCAGTCTGTCACTGATGGGGAATCCGCTTCCCATCATCCTGATCCAAGCCGAGGAGCCAGATCCTACCAAGCACCAGCTCATGGTCCCCATGGGGCAGTTCAGGGGAGTTTGTGTCCTGCAGCCTCTGGAGGGATAGGACAGAGATGGAGGGAGAAAAGCTGCAGCAATGGAGATGCTACAGTGGGCAGCTGTGGAGGAGATGGAGGGTGGGCATGGGGGCTTGATGCAGGGGCATATGGGATGAGCCCCAGTTTGGCAGCCACAGCGCTTCCGTGGGATCTTAGGTATGAAAAGACCATGAAGTCCAACTGCTCCCCCAGCACTACCAAGGCCACCACTAGCCCATGTCCTCAGTTCCACACCCAGATGTCTGTTAAATCCCTCCAGGGTCATTTTTGGGGTCTTTCCCAATGTGAGGAGGGAAGACAGCAGTGAGACATTCATTGCCTGTGGCCATGACGGTGTTTACAGAGGAAACAGCCCTTTGTGGAGAGCTTTATTGCCAATTATCTCCCTGCCACGACCTGCCTGGGCACAGCCAAACCCTGCAGCCTCCAGTGGAAAATGTGGTGTCGTGGCCCCACAGGCACAAGCTGCTGCTCGTCCCGGCACACTCAGCTCACCCTCCCCTTGCAGCAAAAAGTAAACTCTTTGCCCAAACTTTTTCGTGGTTGATTCATGTCCCTGTTGCTGCCCCACTCATGGGGAAGGAGCAGGAGCTGTTCCCTGGCATGGCTCACAGGAAGGACAAGCTGACTTTAAAGTCCAGGAGCAATTTTCCCATATCTTGGCTGTCCTTTTACCCTGGCCAAAAATCACAGTCAAAACCTCCTTCTCATTGGCATCAGCTTCCTTGTTCCTGCACTGAGCCCTATCCGTCCTTATCAACCTGCTGTGCGGGCTTGGACTTCGGAATATTTATTCCTCCAGCAGCAGAGAGGAACCTAATCCTGCACGGACACCAGTGCCAGTGGAATTGACGCAAGCAGCACTGATTCCCAGGGCTGCCCTCCCTCTGGCACAGCCGTGTCCCTCAGGGAGCCCCACTGGGGGTGCAGGGAAGCCCCCATGAGTGCAGTGTCCACAGCACAGATGCTACTGTGGTGGTTTCAAGGTCAAATATTTGAATGTCACCCCCACAAGGGAGCCAGCACGGCGAGAAGGGGACGAGCCTGCACTCCCAGGATGGCCATATCTGTGTCACCTACATCCTTGGCGTCCCCCGTATCCCCCATGCCAAGCACAACTCTGAGTATGACACAAGTGCTCCACTTTTGGCAGCACAGCCGGGTCTGTCCCGACCTTTCCTTCCTGCTGATCTCAGCCTCTGAGTCAGGGCTGGAATCCGAGCGTGCCCACCAAAAATAACAAATGTTAAATTAATCCAGTTTAATCTTAATCTCATTTGACAACCAGCTCAGCCGGGGGTGCTCCCCGGTGCCCAACTGACCAGGACTCCGGGATGGGGGGAAAGGAAAAAGGGCTCCGGAGCCCGGCACCCCACACGGTATGGGGACAGAGGGAAGTATGAGGGGCACGGGGGTGGTGGCAGGAGCCAGCAGCTCCCGGTCACAGTGGCAATGGGGGTGGCACGGGGGCCAGGCGGGGCTGGTCCCGGCACAGCGAGGAAGTCACGGTGAGATCCCTATCGCCTGCGCGGGGGCGGCCGGGAAAGGCACGGTACAGCGGGGGCGGGAGTGGGGCCACCTGAATTCAGGGCTGACAGTGCCCCCAAAACCTGGGTCCTGCTGTGCAGGGGGAAGAGGTAACTAACCCCAACCCTGACCTAGTGTGCCAGACTGGGGAGCACCTGGATCCCAAGGGAAAGAGGCACTAAGGGCTGTAGGCACTGTCCTGGGTGTGCTGGGAGAAGCCTGCACGGCTAGGCTGTGCCGTGCCAGCCCCTGGAGGGACTCTCTGTATGGCATTTCCACTTCTGGACATAGAATCACAGAATCCTGGAATGCTTTGGGTTGGAAGGAACCTTAAAGATCACACAGTCCCACCCTCTGTCATGGGCAGGGACACCTTCCACTATCCCAAGGTTGCTCCAAGCCCCATCCAACCTTGAACACTTCCAGGGATGGGGCAGCCACAGCTTCTCTGGGATACGTGTGCCAGGGCCTCACCACCCTCACAGCCAAGAATTTCTCCCTAAATCCAGTCTAACCCTCCCCCCTCAGTCTAAAGCCTTATATCTGGCTGTAAGGAATATCTAAACAGACCGCAAAGAGCCCCGAATGAACTAAGAGGCATGATGGAGTTTGGAATGATGGAGCAGTGTAGCTGCCTCAGAGGAAGGCAATAGCAACTGAGAATCCTCAGCATGGGAAGGATAAATCCGTGGGAAAGAGTCTGACGTGAGGGCTCACTCTGCTTCCACCCTTCCCACTACACACTGAGCTGCAGCTCGACATGACTGCTCAGGAAGAGATAAAGAGACATCAGTTTAACCAGCACCAGAAGATCAGTGGTATGGGAACCAGCAGCTCAGAGGGGCTGTGGCACCTGTCCTGGGAAGGCACACTGCTCCACATGCCACTGCTCTGTGCTGGCTCCAGATGTGCTGCCCTGGCTCCAGATTTGCTTGTCCTTGGGGCTGCCCCAGCCCCATATGACTTAAATGGGCTCCAGATGTGCACACTTACCATCGTCTCCCAGCTGTGCAGCCCCGGCCCCAGCTGTGTGTCCCCACACACCCAAACATGAACATGCCAAAATGAAAACATGCCAAAATGATAATTCCCACTGAAACCCTCCCAGTTCTGCTCCTGACTATACATTACCGTAGCCATACAGACACATTATATACATTACTATAACCACACGTTATAGTTTCATCACCCAGTGAGGTTTTACTCCCACTGTGCTGCCAGCAGGCTCATGCTCTCACTTCCACTAAAAAGTCCCCATGGATCAGACAAAACCTAGAGCAGCTGGCACTTGCTGGCAGAGGAAGGCTCTGTCTTGCCCTGGGGGAGAAAAATTCTGTTCCCCAACATTTCCCTCTTCGAGGCAGAGCTGGGAGCTGTGCGGTATTTCCTGTGGTTGCAGCCTCTAATGAGGTTAACACTGTTTTTGAGGTTTAACTCTTCAACCGACATGAGAAAGGAAGACACAGGCTCTGCAGAGTCAGGCTTTGGGAGCAGCAGGGAGCCAGTGGGATGGAGGGCACTGGAGCATCCCTGGAGCCTTGGACCTCTCAAACCTGGCAGTCTGCAGCTTGGAGCATCCTTGGATGAGCTGGTGGCCAGCACAAGCAGAGGGGATGACACTCGCTGCTGGTGAAAACAACCTCACTTATTAAGGACTCCTCGTTCCATATTTCTGGGATTAGCAGGAAAATGTTCTTTCCCTGATGCAGCTCAGCCCAACACACTCTGCTGTGCTCCTGTCACCTTGTACACAGCAATACAACCACAAAAATCCATTTGGGATGGATTTAACTTTGTTGGGGTGTCTCCAAATTCTATAAGAACTTTCAGAAAACACTCCTTCCCCCGAGGCTGCTCCTTTAAGGGATGCTGGGTTTTCCCATGGACTGACTCAGACTGGAAACTCTCCATTTTTGGTGCTGTTATCTGGGTCAGCCCCACTGCTCACCTCTCTCACACTCACCGATGCTTCTTGCTGCGCTCAGCAGCTCCAGCCGCAGCAGGAGGAGGATCCCAGCAGGATCCTGAGGACAGCCAAGGTAAGAACCCTCTACTCTGCCCAGCTTCCAGACCCCTACATTTAAATGCAAAATATGCCAGCTCATTGTCCTCACCTGCTGCTCCCATGTGTTATCCCCTCCTGGCACAGCTGCCGGTGAAGATTCCACCTGGTCTGGGCTTGAACAACAGGACAGCTTTTTCCTTCTTTTTTTAATTCCCATTTCTTTAGCACTAAAGCACAAGGAGACTTTAACAGAGACAAGATGCCCAGATGCCCAGCATCTGCCAGCAAGGGAAACGGTCTTGTTCCTTTGGCTTTGGAGTTTGCAAACACCTATAAATTGGAATAAAAATATGAATGTGAGTGATTCCCAGGGGAGGCAGAGCCTGCAGTCCCTTGTAAAGCTGCCAGTGGGCAGATTTAGTGTGTTTTCAGTTCTTTTCATAGAATACGAGTTGTATTTTTTCATTTGCTCTGACTTGCAGAAGGTTCATGTGCTTCTCTTAGTAGGTCAGGTAACAGGGAGGCACTTAGAATTTGACTCATTAGTGATGAGTATTTGAACATCCCTTAAACCAAACAAGGTCAGTTCACACGGCAGGAGAAATACCGAAGTACTTGCTGCTGCTGGTGGCCTGGTTTGGGTTGAAAAACAGCATTTTGAAGCTTTCACTGTGGACTCTGCTGTCCCTCCAGGGAAAACTTGCTATTCCTGACGTCAGGTATTGCATGGGGTTATTTGAAAAGAAAATGAGGGAGTTGTGGGGCTTTTCTGGATGTTCAACCCTGGGTAGGGGAGTGGGGTATCAGGTCTGGCTGGTCAGGGTCTGCTCCCAGGAGGATGTTTTTCATGAAAAAGAGCAATTTTCCCCCAGGGAGCTGCATTTCCTTGCACTTCAGTCTGTGCCTTGGTTGTTTCAAAGCTGACCCATCCCCACATCCCAAGTCCCACAGGGCTGGTGAGATTAGGCTTCCTGTCTGGAGAGGGTTTGTCCTGGTGGGATGCATCCAAAGAAGTTGGGGAGGAAGTCAAAGGGAACAGGGAAAAATTTAGGCAAGACTGTGGGATGCAGACGCAAGAATGGCTCCTTGGGCAGAGGTGGGAAGCCCTGGCCTGAGGTTTTGGGGCTGTCTTCGGGGGGTTCACTGCTTGCAAGAGCCATTGTTCAGCTTGGGCAGGACCTGTGGGAAAGATCTTATGGAAATGGAAGTTTTGTCCCACAAAACCATGCTGAGCATCCCAAGGGATGGAGACTGTAGGGTGAGCCCTGCTGTGTGGTCACCATTAAAGAGCTTTTTCTTATGTTTTAGCTGGAATTTTCTGATTTCCAGTGTGAGCCCATTGCCTCCTGTCCTTTCCCTGGGCAGCGCTGGGAGGAGTTTGGCTCCCTCATCTTTACTTCCTCGTCTATACCCAAGGATTTAAGGCTCTTTGAGCCCCTCCTCTCCAGCAGCTCTCCCAACCCATCCACATTTCCCAGGTGCTCCCAACCCTCAGGCATTTTTGCTGGACTCACTCCAATCTGTCCATGTTTCTCCTGTCCTCGGGGGAGCCCAGGCCTGATCCCAGCATTCCAGATGTGCCTCCTCAGTGTTGAGCAGAGGGACACCATCTCCTGACCCACCAAACCCGTCTCTTTCAAGGAAGGCTTTCAGCCTTGATTTCCCTGCTGTAAATCCACATTTTCCTGCTCCCATCACCTCCTGGTGCTTCTGCCTGTGCTGGAGCTAGTTTCCAGGAGGATTCCCTCCATCCCCTTTCCTTCCACAGACTATGCCATGCGCAGGCAGTGGCTGCAGCCCAGGCGATGGGAGGGTCCAGCAGTGCTTTGGTGCTCCACATCCTGTTCTGCTGCCTGTGCCAAGGTAAGTGGCCACCACATGGCTCAGCACAGCCACCACGGCCTCGCTGACCACCAGAGCATACACTGTGGTCCTACAGGGGATTTAGGCTGGGAATAGGACAGTTGTAGAGCTGCAGCTGTGGGTTTTGGGGGGAGCAC